GGAAAGATGAAGAAATTAGTAAAAGGTTCAAGAATCTTTGAGAGAGAATTGGTGATAGGACTTCCATAGAGTAACATATTAGGCATAAATGGGGAAAAAATGTAATATAAATCTTTATTAGTCTTTATTTGAAAAAGTGTTGGATTTTCCTTCCAATTTGAGAACCAGATATAAAGGGCTGGAATCTTTGCATACTCAACAAGACAAAAAGCTAGGAGAGAGATTTATTTGTTAGCTGGAGGGCTTTTCTATGTCATTTTCCTCTTGTAGTACCCCCAAAAATGATGAGTCATCTATTTATGTGGGCGTTACAGATTTTGCATTGTGGATAGGATGAACATGTATGTGCTGTACACAGTGTTTTCTTTAATTGTCATTCTTTGTGGGGAATTATAGTAGGCTGTGATTTCTCCATATATATGAAAACCTCTTAATCTTGTTTGTTGTGGTTGTTGAATCTAAGTAGTTATGGTGGTTAGTCTCTGAAAGTTCCTTTTGTTGTCGTACAGGCTGATGACTGATAGATAAATGCAGTCTGCTTGACACTGAGTCTATTACTTTTCTGTGAACAGAGAAAGTCATATAGCATTTTTTTCTCGTGGCAACAGTAATAGATCTGTTTCTGATGCTAGCTAGCAATGTCTTTGTGTCACTGCTAACAGTGTCTTGTGTCATCTGATGTCTTGTTGCATTCCAGTTCCAATATCTTCCCTTTTTGCCTCTGCCTTTACTTGTTTCTTTGACTTAGAATCCCCGTTAAATTCACAGTTTACATGTGATTAGAAGGAAAACTAAGACTGGAGTAAAGTATGCCAACTCCTTTTTGGAGTTCTGTCAAGTACACAATGTTTTCTGATCTGTATAATGAAAAATCTTGATTATTGGAATTTCTTTTCATTTCTGTCCATTGATGCAAACCATTGTTTCATTTCTAAGAAACATGCTGATTTCTTACAGTGTTGTATACCAACTTCATAGACACATATTGTCCCCTCTTTTCCATTAGTCTGTGTATATGAAACAGCTGTTTCCTATTTTTGGTCTCTGCAAAGTCTGATGTGTTGGTAACTGGTGGATACTTCCCATTCTGCATAGGCAATATGAAGAAAATCAGTTTCATACTTTTAAAAATACTAAATATGTTTGATTTACGTAGGTCTTCCAGTTAATGACTTTCAAAATGAATCTTTAGCTGGCTTTCCTCATGATTGTATTGTATTTTTTGGAGTCTGTTATGTATGACTTTAAACATCCATGCCTTCATAAATCTTTTCTGAAAACACGTATTGGAGGCTAAGCTCCTTAAATATTTTTATCCAATTATTTTCCACCCAATTTACTGGATTTCAAGTTATTCCATGCACATCGAAGTATTTCTCTGTGTAGTAAGGTTTGTTTGCTGTGAATGTGTCTGTCTGTCATAAAGCAGTTTACTCTTAAGTGACCTATCTCCATAACTGGAAGAGATACACCTGCCTTAGCATGGTGCTTCACCTTTACGGATCAGCTGTGAAACAGATAAACTACCCTGGATAAAGTGGTCTGCTAATGAGCTCTTATGATTCTTATACTGAGCTGTCTGGAGTATCAGTGAATATTGCGTAAATATACATTAACCTGTGCTCACTGCCCTAATTGTTAGTATTGAATCATGGGTTATTAAAGGGCTTGATTCACCTTTACTTATACCACATTCTGTATGTTAGGTCATCCCGCTTTTTCCTCCCTTCAGCAGAGTTATGCTATCCTACTTCTTGTAAGTCAAGCCCTTGTGCTGGTTTCAGCTGTCAAAGCATTTAGTATCAACTATTTTTCCATTTCCTTGTAAGCAGTGATAAAAGCACAATGAACATTGCCTCATCACCAAATTATATTTTTCTCTTACCAGCTGGAATAAAACATAATAAAAGAAGACAAGAGTTTTAAAAATGTCTCCACACATTTATCTTAATCTTTTCGCTGTGAAGAAGCTTAGGAATAGCCTGCTGCTTCAGACTTGAACAGACGCCTGAGCATTATCTCTCTCTGGAGTGCATGCATATCCTTTTACATCTCATCAGTCTTCATTTTTATTTCATATTTCTTGATCAGCTGATTTCTGTCCTTGAGCTTGTCTGATTGATTTTCAAACTGCTCCTTGAAAAATATCTTGATGGAAATGAATT